AATTTGTTCCTGGCGGCAGAGCAGAGTGAACCGTCTTTCTTCTCAGAGGATCTTTGTCCCATGCTCTCCGTGTCCGCAGTGTAAACAACTTTCGCTGGCGATTTGACTGTCACTAGAAGGACATTATGACCCTTTGTAAAAGTTTCTGTGTGGTACCTGTGTTGTACAGAGCTAACGTTAGCAGCTAAGGACTGAGAGGCTGTCCGGTATGTGTGTGTGTGTCTGTGTGAGGAGTGTCAGTACGTTAACTTTTAAGGGGTCCTCCTCACTTTGTCGGCTCTCTCCTGCTCTTGTTGCTTTCCAAACTGCCGGCCGGCTGTCGCTCTGCATTACGTGGTATAACGTTGCTTCGTTGTGAGCGCTTGTTTTTATGCAGATGATGTCCCGTCTCCCGGCACGGGCGGGGCTGGCAGAATCGCCGTCATTGAAAAATCAGATCGCATATGCATATGAGTCGAGATCACGATTTTATTACGATTAATCGTGCAGCCCTACATCATTATACACATAGTTGTGTGTGCCCTATTGATTTTAGCGACCACTGCCCAGTGGGCTGCATTAGAAATTGTAAAACAAAAAGAATGGGACCGCAGTAAAACTTTGTTGAACAGGCTTTCTTACATGACCCACATATCAGTGACCTCTCTCTCGTAAGTCTCATCCCAGATGCTGACCTGGCACTGCAATGCTTTTTGTCTGTTTTTTACTCCTTAGCGGATAAACATGCACCAGTTAAGAGACTGAGGATTAAAAACAGATGTAACCCTTGGTTTAAAAGTGATTTAGGTGAGTTTATTTTACAAAGAAATAAAGCTTGGGTGCAGGCTAGATCCACTAGTAGTGATGTGGACTGGCAAACATTCAGACATCTTAGGAACAAATGCACTTACATGGTTAAAAAGGCTAACTCAACTTACTATTTAAAAAATCTGTCTGTCTGTGGTATTGGGCTGAAATGATTCCTTGAGTAACTCGAATAATTTGATTACTAAAAAGCCTTGAGGCAAATTATTTGCCAGCTAGCTAAAGTGTTGGAATATTTTGTAAATTAACAGCTTTGTGTTTTTTTTGTCTGCAAATGCTATTTTAAGTCCCTGTTAGTCTGGGTTTAGAGCTGGCCATAGCACCATTGCAGCAGCAACTGTGGTTTTTAAATGATATAGTTTCAGCGTTAGATTGTAGGAGACACTGTGCGACCTTGTTTATAGACTTGTCAAAGGCTTTTGATACTGTTGATCACATACTGCTTCTACATAAATTGGCCTTGCTGGGTTTTGATGAAGCATCATTTAAATGATTTCAGGATTACACACCGATAGAACCCAGTGTATAAATGCTGCAGGAGTGAATTCAGAGTATTTAAGATTGAAAAATGGGTCAATTTTAGGCCCATTGTTGTTCGCTTTATATATAAATCTGTGCCTCTTCTTTATGCTTATGCCCCATCGATAGAGGAAGCTGTATCAAACCTTCAGTGTGCCATTTGACTGCGTGCAGAAATCCCTAAAAAAAAATTTAGACTGATTTTAAATGAAACCAAAACTAAATTCATGATATTCACAAGGTCAAGGAAGTGTGATCTTGATGCCTCTTCCATCCGTTCCCTTAATGGCACCCACACTGAACGTGTTACAGATTACAAATACCTTGGCATCTGCCTAGACATCAACTATAATGTCAGTCTTAGATTATGGCGATATTTTGTAAATGCATGCAGCTCAATCCACACTGAAATCCCTTGATACAGTCTACCACAGTTGTCTCCATTTTATTACTGGGGATGGTTTTAGAACTTACCACTGTGAACTGTATCAGAATGTGTTATGGTCATCTCTCACTGATAGACGGGAAGAAACACTGTCTCCTTAAAAGCTACCCTTCAACATCACCTCTTTTAAAAAACAGATCCATCTCTCATCGCACACGATCACAGGAATTTTTATCCCTCAAAACTCCTAATCAGTACAGAGCTCAGTAAATTAGCTGTTAGTTTTTTAGCCCCACATAAATGGAACAAGTTACAAGACACATTGAAATTGGCCAGGTATGTAGATCATTTCAAGTATATGCTGGATGATATGGTTGTTTTACAGTGTGGCTGCTTTGGTTGACTGACACAGTAAAAACCTTTATTAACGCAGTTTCACATAAGAAAAAAAAAATCACTATTTTTACGACGCCTTTTGCTGCTTATTACAGTGGCTGACGCGAAAATGCAAATGGCCCTATCTAAAGCCAGTGTTTGGTTTGTCTGTTCTTGGCAACCCAGTCTCTCTCCTAAGTCGTCAAAATCTGGTGCTTTGGCAGTGACTTGCAGCGTCAGACACTGACAAAAAAAAGCAGTCTTTTAACGTTGTCATGATATGCAGCCATTTGTTGTTAGATTTTAATGGTGCTTAGTGGTGTCAGTGGGAAATGCAGCGGGACAAGAATGACAATTAAGGCGGCGAAAGTGCGAGTAGAGCGGGCAGGTGTGGTAGTGGATTGGTCCAACAAACACCGACCGCAACCCGCAAGACTATAAAGCCAAACCCAGTTCTTTTTTCCTAAACCTAACCATGTGCATGTGTTGTTGGAGGAAAAATAACATCACTTTGCGGTGTTACACTGACGTACTGTATTCAATTTGAAAGAGCCTCCATGTAAACATTAAATTTCCTGTGAAAACGGAAGTGTGTTTTGAAACAATGCACGTAACAGACAAAACTTGACACGGTGTCCCGGAACGCCAACGACGATTATTTCTACATATTACTATGATATTACTTTTATTGTTGTGGTTGTTGTAATGTATCTGTCCTTTATGGCAGACTCCATTCTTAATTATTTAACTTTTTCATCTTTTTCCTATTTTTTATTGCTGTTTTTAATACTTGATAGACATTCCTGCTACTTATTTGTTTTTATGGACTTTTTGTCATTTTATTGCAATTATATATTTGTATCCTTCCAGCCCATTGAATGTGAACTCAGGGCATTGCTGTAAAAGAACTTAATACTTAGTCAGTTTTCCCTGAATAAACAATGGTTGATGATGACATTACAAAGGGATCTCCAAATTTCCAGTATGAACAGGAGAAAATAATTGCAACAAGCAAAACCTCTTTTGAATGTTCATATGGACACCTGACTAGTGTTTTAGGACATACTTGAAGAAATGTGAAAGTGCAATTTTCTGTTCACTATGTCATCATTGTCTTTCCAAATCACTGAGCCATACCATAATTGGTATGGTAACATCTATGCCACAGTTGGTAGAAAACTTCTCTCACCCAAAGAGTTACCTACAGTGGCATACAAAGGTGTGGGCACCCATGGTCAAATTTTCTTTTACTGTGAGTAGTTAATTAAGTACAAGATGAACTGATCTCCAAAAGGCCTAAAGTAGAAGATGTGAAAGATATTATCCATCCATCCATCCATCCATCTTTTAACCGCTTCATCCTCTTGAGGGTCGCGGGGGGGCTGGAGCCTATCCCAGCTGACATTGGGCGAGAGGCAGGGTACACCCTGGACAGGTCACCAGACTATCGCAGGGCTGACACATAGAGACAGACAACCATTCACACTCACATTCACACCTACGGACAATTTAGAGTTATCAATTAACCTAATCCCCAATCTCTCCGGGCACTCCAGCTTCATCCCAAAGACATGCGTCTTTGGGATGAAGCTGGAGTGCCCGGAGAGAACCCACGCTGACATGGGGAGAACATGCAAACTCCGCACAGAAGGGCTGCCACACCTGGGATCTGACCAGGAACCCTCTTGCTGTGAGGCGACAGTGCTAACCACCACACCACTGTGCCGCCCCCAAAGATATTATTTATTTAATTATTATTATATTTTTGTTTTTACACTTCGGGGAAAAAGGAAAGGAGCACCATGCAAACGTATGGGCACCCCAAGACATTTGAGCTCTCATACAACTTTTATTAGGGTTTCAGCTTGTTGGAGCTATGGCTTGTTCACGACCATTATTAGGAAAGGCCAGGTGATGCAAATTTCAAAGCTTTATAAATAAAAGCAAATCATTTTCAGGTAGATGTGTCCTCATTTCATAAAGTATGTAAGAAATGGCAGTTGACATGAACTGTGGAGGTCAAGTTGAGGTCCAGAAGACCAGGAAAAGACTGCAAAAGACATGCAAGAAGATTTACCAGACTCTGGAGTGGTGGTGCACTGTTGTACTATGCAGCAACACCTGCACAAATGTGACCATGGAGTCCTCAGGAGAAAACCTTTTCTGTGTCCTCGACACAAAATTCAGCGTCAGAAGTTTGCAAAGAAACATCTAAACAAGGCTGATGCTTTTTTGGAAACAAGTCCTGTGGACTGATGAAGTTAAAATATAATGTTTTGGATGCAGTGAGCAAAGGTATGTTTGGAGAAAAAAGGTTGAGGAATTTCATAAAAATAACACCTGTCCAACTGTTAAACACAGGGTCGATCAATCATGCTTTGAGTTTGTGGTGCAGCCACTGGCATGGGGAACATTTCACAGGTAGAGGGAAGAATGGATTCAGTTAAATTCCAGCAAGTTCAGGAAGCAAACATCACACCACCAAAGAGCTGAAGATGAAGAGAGGATGGCTTCTACTGTACAATAAGACAATGATCCTAAACACACCTCAAAATCCACAATGGACTACCTCAAGACCTCAAAAGAGCAGTGCATGTAAGATGGCTTAAGAATCTCACAGAGGTAGAAGCCTTTTGCTGGAAGAATGAGTGAAAATCCCCTAAACGAGAGCTGAAAGACTCTTGGCTGGATACAGAAAGTGCTTAGAAACTGTGATACTTGCCAAAGGGGGCACTACTAAGTAGTGACCATGCAGGGTGCCCAAATGTTTGCTTTGGGCCTTTTTCTTATTTCGTTAAAAGATTGAAATAAAAAAAATAATCATGCTTAAAATGTTAATTTCCAGGAAATTGACGTTCAGCTGTCTACGACTTGACTTGAAAACTGACTCACTACAGTATGTTTCTGTCTCTTTCAGGTTCCTGTGAGCACAGCAAAGACAGAGTAAACGGTCATCAAGACATCATGAGGCAGCTCAAAGGCAAACCCAAAAAAGAATCGTCCAAGGACAAGAAGGAGCGTAAGCAGGCCATGCAGGAAGCCCGACAGCAGGTGGCCACCATAGTACTGCCTACACTAGCTGTAGTGGTGCTGCTCATTGTTGTCTTTGTGTATGTGGCCACCAGGCCTGGTGCTATAGAGTAGACATTAAAGGAACTCATGAACTCCCAAACTGACTGGACTTTGAAAACTGACAATGGCTATACCCAAAGGATTACTCTCATCACGTGACGAGCCTCCCTCTGTAAGGCCAGTGATTGGCCTAGCAATTTTTTTTAAATGAAAGCCTCCCTCAAACTGTGTTTCTTTGCTCTAAGCAGAGTTTAAGCTGCAGAAATAAAAAATCAAATTGAGTGGAGAAACAGTTTCTCCTTGGTGCCTTCAGATGAATGATGATGATGACACCAATTTAATCCTGTTCACTTGAGAGCAGCGGATGGATTCATGTTGATGTCTTACAAAATGATGCAAAGTCATGCATACCAAAGGACTTGTGCACAGCTTGCCAAGTTTGACCAGAAATGATAAAAAAAGAAACTTTTGTATCACTCTTTGGGCAGCACTCAAGCCTACCTGTATGAAAAGAAGGATTCAGTTTGCGTCTGCTATGTTTGAAAGCAACTAGAGGATCTTATTGAATGTAATCAGAGAATGTGTTATCATAAGTCCAGTTTGTTCAAACACATTTGAATTTCTTCATCTTTAATGTGAATGTTACCCAATTGTTTCCACTAAGTTACTTTATTATACTTTGAGTTACTCATGATATCTGTGCATATGTAATAAGGTGCCTTAACAGATTTGCAACTGTATTATTTCAGTTAAATAAATGAATTTTTAAAATAACTGAGTTAGTGTTTTAAGATTTTTAAATTTGTTTATGGTAAACTTGTATAGCGCCTTTCTAATCAACTGACTACTCAAAGCACTTTTTACACTATGAGTCACATTCACCCATTCACACACTGGTGGCATCATACAAGGTGCTACTCAGTTTTTAAACACACTCACACACCGATGGAATAGCCATCAGGAGCAAGGGTTCAATACCTTGCCCAGGGATACATCAACACGCAGACTGGAGGAGCTGGGGATCAAACCGCTTATCTTCCGATCAGTGAACAACCCGTTCTACCTCTGAGCAACAGCCGCCCCTCTATCTTCTGTAGATCAGAACCAGACAAAAATGAATCTCAGTGCTAATGTGTCTTGGTCATAAAAAAAATTGAGGTAGTATTAGACTGCACTGGGCTTAAGTCTTCATCTGATGGTCTAAATTTTTATTCATGAGACCATCCTGGTGAAATTGGTGTTGTTTCAGCTTATTCAGTCACACTCGCGGGATTCAGTTAGTCCTGTGGAAGTGGGGATTTACTCATGTCAGAAAGGTTACAAAAGGAGATTTTAATAATGTGCTTAAAATACAGCTAGTGTTAGTAACTAAGTATTGCACTGTGTACTTTTATTGAACTGTACTATTGAAGGAGTGGTTAAATGTGCTACAAGTAATGCACAAGTATTCTTTTTTAAAGAAACAAATACTTTTGTATTCCTTTTTCAAAGAGTTTTTCACAACTCTTCACTCAAGTATACTTTCGACCTAGTAATCTACTTTTTAATCCACTACATTTGCCACATTTACCTTGGTTACAAGCAATGTGCTGTAAATGTGAGGATAAAGCGTAGGGGTGGAGAGTGCATGTGGAGCACCTCTACTACAGATGCCAAAATGCCAGCTGTCTGAAAGAAAAAGAAGCACCACCTGTTTTTTGACCACGACCTATAATACACCGAGCACCTTCTCTCCTTCTCTCTCTCCTTTGCTAACACTCATGTCCTGTTACTACATCTCGCTAACTCGGCTGTACTGCATGACACTAACTCAGCTTCTTCTATGGAGCCTTTGTGCTCCACTGTCTCGCAGGTTAACTTATATCGCAGCAGTGCTTGGATAGTGTGACGTATGTGGTTGTGCTGCTGCCGTGGTCCTGCCTGATGCCTCCTGCTGCTGCTGTTATCATTAGTCATACTTCTACTATTATACACATGATTATTGTCACATATGTATACTATCAGATATTAATATATACTATATTAAACATATTGTACCATAATAGCTGTAATAAGAATTATAATATTATTACTTTAATGTTGTTGTAAGCTACTGTCATTACCATCTGTCCTGTATCTCTCTCTGTCTCTGTCTCTCTTTCTGTCTCATTGTGTCATACAGATTACTGTTAATTTATCATGTTGATCTGTTCCATATGACACCTATTGCACGTCTGTCCGTCCTGGAAGAGGGATCCCTCCTCAGTTGCTCTTCCCGAGGTTCCTACCACTTTTTTCCCTGTTAAATGATTTTTTTTCCTTATCTGCTGCGAGGGTCCTAAGGACAGAGGTATGTCATATGCTCTAAAACCCTGTGAGGCAAATTGTGATTTTTGATACTGGGCTTTATAAATAAAATAAAATTGATTGATTGATTGATTGATTGATTGATTGATTGATTGATTGATGATGATGAGGGAGCAGAACCACAGACAGCTTCCAGCTACAATTCCTGGACACATCTGCCTCCACTTTCTAATAACAAAATGTAAAAAAGACAACAACAAGAAGTGCTTGAGTGCCTCCTCTTTTAACCTCCACAAGCATATTGCAGTTGGTTGCACATAGATCTACTGTGGGTGAAAATGCAGTTAGCTAGCTAATGTTAGTTTTTTTTTCATTTGTCATGTGTAATGTTTATCTTTGATGTTAGCAATATGGAAAAGAGAGGGGTAGAAAGGAAGAGAAGGAAAGACTGTGAGAATGTTCATATCTCATTTGTGTAGGCCTTCCTTATTTGTCAGATGAGCCCACCTGCTTTACTTCATTTAAGTTTCTTAAACAAGTGCAGTTTCTTTTTTATTATTTTGCACTGGCCCGTATAAATAAAATATAAATAGTAAAATGGCAAGTAACTTGTACTTATTTTTACTTGAATTTCCCCCCATGGTTATTTTTGCTTTTATACAAGTAATTTGTATAAAATAATTTGTAAGAAGAGTAATTTATGAACGTCAGGATAAGGCATGTCAACTTTTACACCACACAAATTGATGGGCGGGTGCAGGAGGATGCGCACACCATGGCCCTCATTTATGAAAGGAAAGTACGACAGGAAACGGGGTGTACGGTCAGTTCCACATAAAGCTCAGCATTTATCAATGTGGACATGAGCGGAGGCTATGATCAAATCTCACATCAGGTCTTAACTTGTGTTCGCAAGTTTGAGTCAGCATGGACTTGTGGTGTAGCAGAGCAAATCTGGCTGAATTTTTGTCATTAGACCATATTCTGACTGGCATCTGAGTATTTGCAGCCACATATTAATCACTTAGAAATGTGTAGCCTGTGAGAAAATAGTATATATTGTAAAGGCATACATCACTATAGGCCCGTTTCCACCGCAGGAACTTCGGGGTTATTTTTACGGGGCTGGGGCCGTTGGTGCGTGTCTCCACCACAGAAACCACCCCCGAACGACAGAGTTCCGGAACTTTTACGGGGGCTAAACAAGTCCCTGCCTCGGGGTAGGTACTCAGAACGGCCCCGAAAGACTCCCGGCTGGGGCTTGGGGATTACTTGGTGCTGATTGGATATACTCAAGGAGGGATGTGATGTCAAAGCAACAAAATAGCCGGCATTTTTAAAACTGAGCAGACGAGGATTAGCTCGTTCATATAGCTTCCTCCGCCATGTCAAAAAAAAACTACTAAATAACTAAATGGCCCGTGAAAAAAATATTCTTTCCAGCGGATATCTTAGTTACAACATGATTGAGGTAGCAAAGCAGTTTTGTGTTGCTATGTGTGGTATTTATTCAGTTTTGGGAAATCACGATGTCTAGAAAGCATCAGTGGCTGCCGCTGACAGGGACAGCTAACAGCAGCAGCAAAGCTAACATCAGGACGTCATCTGTTAAAAGCCTCCCGTTGTCGGATACGACATGAAACTACTCCAGATAGCTCAATCATGTTGTAACTAAGACATCTGCTGGATTTTTTTTTTTTCACGGGCCATTTACTGAGTTTTTACAGACACCGCTATCAGCTAACAGCTAACAACGTCCCTACGTGTCGCCCCGGTAAATGGTCGCGCAACGATTACGTCACATCCAGAGCCCGTAACTTTACAGGAACCTTCCTCCTACTCCGCTCTCTCAGTGGAGACACGGCGGTTAAGAGGGCCGAGTGAGAGGACATTCCTGTAGTAGTTCCTGCCCCCCAAATAGTACAAGGAACTTCTTCAGTGGAAACAGGCCTTATGTGCCCTTTATCACAGCTGACAGCCGGTGCTGTGGGCCTGGCTCAAGGCTGACCAAAGGATCAAGGATTTTAAATATTGACAAGCTAAAGCATGTTTGTATAATTTCCCTTTCAACATCATTAAAAAGAAGTTATAAACCCTGCAACATAATAATTATTTAAATACTAGAAGCCTAGGTAATTAAATGTTTACCATTGTCCAACTCAGACATAGGTGGTGCATCTGTGTCTCCTCCACCACCTGTTACGCTAAAAATGGAAGCAGACCTGATACGCGCAGCCACACACTCTTCAGTGTCTGGGTCATTTATAAGCTTTAATATGAATATTATAATGTTATTAATATTACATAGGCAAATATTATTATTTGTAGGCTATAGATGGGTACATATCATGGATGTATAAAATAAATATTCTAACCTCAAGATCTGTCCACTGTAATGCTGTTGACTGCAGCAGTAATTTCTTTCCATGCTGCGTTTTTCCGACTTCCTTCCTTCACTTTTTAGGCTGCCAGGCAAGGCTTCTAAACCCAGAATATATGAGGGTGGGATATTTGAATGGACACGGTAGTGCAGCGATTAGCACTGTCACCTCACAGCAGAGGGTTCTAGATATGAGTCCACTGGTAGGGGCCCTTCTGTGTGGAGTTTGCATGTTCTCCTGTTGTCAACGTGGATTTTCTCTGGGTGCTGCGGCTTCCTCCCACAGTCCAAGAACATGCAGGCTAAGCTTGATATAGACACACCACATGGACATCAAAGATTTAATGACAACAAAAGTCGACCTGTCTCATCACCTCACGTCACCTGTGTCTTGGCCAAAAAGTTGTACATGAACTGACGAACACATCGCAAAGACTACAGCCAACGGCAAACCAGCACACATGTTCTGCGCCTGGGTAAGAGGGAATAACTCAATAACTAAATATCAGCAGGCGGCGGTAGTTTATATTCCTCCAAATAAAGAAACTAAAAGACCATCATGATGCTAGTTAGCCAGTTAGCATATTAACAACACAATCCTATGTTTAAAAAACAAAGCATATTTACCCTGCACCAGTGAACAATAACAAAAACCATCAGGAAACCTTTCTGCTCAGTGGATAAAGAAAAATAATCTGACCTTATGGAACAAGTTTGTCTTGCTCTCACTCCCTCTTTACTTAGGCCGTTTGTTAACTTTCCTCACTTCCATTGCTCTTCTCATACGCTGAGCGGAACTGCCATTCTCTTACAGCTGAAATGGAAAGGCGACAAGCCCTGAAGAGGGCAAATGGTGCAGGACACACTGCAAAGATGAGGGCAACAGACATTCACTGACAGCCCAGCACTGACCAATGGCCGACACTCACCTTGGTGTGTCAGGGTTTTAGGTTAAATGGTGGCTCTAAAATCCCATGTGAATGTAAACATGATTAGTTGTCTGTTTCTGTGTGTCAGTCCTGGGGTGTGGGATGGGCCCTAGCCCCCCACCCCGCGACCCTGTACCAGGATGAGCAGTTATGGATAATGAATGAATGATGTTTAAATGACAGTTGTTTTCAGCTGATTCCTATGCTGTGATTGGTGAGATATGAATGTTGCAAGAATCACATGTGAACCCTAAGCTTAGATGATTTCTGCGCTCTAATCTGCACTCATTTGTACGTTAGATTGACAAGGGTCTGTAAGAATTGCCTCTCTGTAGGAGAGGTGGTGGAGCCTTTTGCATCTGTGCCCAGGGACCCACTGTCTCATAATCAGCCCATAGTCTTTGATGCTATATATAT